TTGGGATGGATATCTGATTGGAAGGACATTTCCAAGAATGCCTACAATGGTATCTGTCGTTGAGGATGCTCCTGTTAACGTTGTTAATGTTGTTTCAAGGTCTGATACTCAAATCCCAGTTGAGGAACCGCCGCGAATATCTATGAATTCAATCAATGAAGATGATGAAGATGAGACTGTCCCTGGTGGGTCTGTCCAAACTAGGGATTATTACTCTGATTCTTCATCGAGGAGGAGGAAGAGTCTTGACAGGTCTAATTCTATTAGGAAGACTGCTGCGGCTGTGGTGGCTGAGATTGATGAGTTGAAGGCTGTTTCCAATGCTAAAGTGACACCAGCAACTGTGGATTATATCCATGGACCTAAGCTGGCGGTTCCTGATAGAGATTTTAGGGATTCGAACTCGAATTCTTTGAGGGATGATTGCTCTGAGAATTTTGACATGGGGTTCAGAGACAATGCATCTGTGGTGGGGAATGGTGAAAGGAAAGGGGTCAAGAAACCTCGGAGATGGAGCAAGGCGTGGAATATTTGGGGTTTTATACACAGAAGAAGTGTTAACAAAGATGAGGATGAGGATAGGTATAGCAGAGCAAATGGGGTAGAGAGGTCCTTTTCAGAGTCTTGGCCAGAATTGAGAGGGGAGCGAAATGGAGATGTAAGGGGGGGTTTTAATCCGAAGATGTTGAGGAGCAACAGCAGTGTTAGTTGGAGAAATTCACATAATTTTGGCGGTGGATCTTTTAGCAGTGCAAGGAAGAGCAGTGTTGAGGCTAATGGGAATGGGAGAAAGAAGAGGGATGAGTTTGTGTTGGAGAGGAACAGGAGTGCAAGGTATTCACCAAACAACATGGATAATGGACTGTTAAGGTTCTACCTGACGCCGATGAGGAACAGTCGTCGAAATGGTTGGGGGAAGAGTAAGTCCAGTCATGCACAATCCATTGCAAGGAGCGTATTGCGATTATACTGAATCGGCAAGTCCATAAGGTGTTTCTTTGGTTTAATGTTAATTTTGATGCATTTGTTGTGTAAGCGCACATGCCCAATGTATTCTTCATCAGTTGGTTGGTTGGATAAAAAAACACCCCTAAATTTGTTGCCTTTACTGTGAATTGCATTGCTTCTTTTCAATTATTCTAATAACAAGCGATTTTTAGTGTTCTTTTCTCAAGTGTCTCCAGCCACGCTCTTGTTTATTGCTGAATTCTTTTTCCCGTCTCGCGTTTTGTTATGCTGATCTGTCTTTTTACCAGAACTGGTCAGGACAGAGAATATGCGTGCCTATTTGTGCAGATGTTCTTGTCCTTGAATTTAATTGGTTTTTTCCTTCTTTTCATCCTTGCCCTACAAAGCAAAGATTTTGCTGATGGACTGTGCGAAGGCTGCAAGGCTGTTTCAGACATCTTACTCAAATATTTGGCATTTTACATATTCTTTGGGACAAAAGAGTTTCATGATGTGGGCTCATGCTCCCTTTTGTCACTGTTTCCAAATCAACAATGTACTGCCAATTCATTCAGTATTTGACTAACCAGGCAACTTTTTGTAATTTGAGTAAGGTTTCTCTGATTTCTTTGTTATGATCATGGAGCTTCAATGGTCCTCTGCGCTGATAATACATTTGCATGAATGGATAGAAGATTATGTCAACATTTATTAAAAACATTTGTTGTTTCTTTCTTCGTTTCTTTATTTTTTTCCGTATATTTGAAGTCCATTCCTTCTGTGCTAAACGTCATATCCAATTCAACTGACACGACCATCTTTTATATCCTGTGATTTAGTCAAACTATCCCCCTATTGGTGGTTGAGTGGGAACTTAGATCACTTGGGGTTTGTCAAAAGATAGCAGATTTTCCTGTAATGTAAGTGCATGAACTTGTTATGAAGTCATTACAGTGTTGTTTTTTTTTCTTTCTCCCGTGGAATGCTGCACTCACAGTTTAGCTTGTGGTTTTGCTATCCTACCATGGTGGATGAGTTCCAAACAAGTATGCCTTGCACAAGCGTAGAAGTTAATCTAATTGCACGCGCAGTTTTTTATTCCATTCTTTTCTGGCGGTGGCTGTTCCTTTCTGATGTTGGATTTGTTCCTTAACAAAGCCATGGAGAGAGCTTTAAGTTTCTGTGGTATTCCCTTTTTCCTGCAATTTTACATGTGGTTTTACTTTTACCATCTGCATTTTGTGAATGTCAACCAACCGTCAATCCAAAGCCTAAACTTGCAAAATGAAGACAAGGAAAGAGCTTAGAAGCCCTTTAAATTCTCTGTGAAGTATTGCCTAATAATCCAGCCATAACGTTAACTAGTGGTGGGCTACACAACATGCTCCTTGAACATCAGTAGGGCTCAAATCCCATTACCAGAACAGAAATCAAGCTAAGCAATGATAATTTCATATGATTTACAAGATTTTTGTTCTCGTATTTGGACATCAAACGGTCTACCCGATCAAATCAAATAAGATTGAGATCATGCTTTCTGCCTTTTTCTCTATATCTGCAAAAGCTCCATGATCAACAAATTTGCCTCTAAAGTCAAAAGGTAACTACAAAAACATCCCAGCATGTTCTCCGTCATGGATGATACAAAGAAAGAAAGAAAGAAAAAGGGGATGGCTCGAAACCCAATGAAATTTCAAGTTGTTACTTACCCCATTAAGGCTTAAGTTTGAAGCGGGCAGTGACACTCATAATTTTTATATATCGCTTCTCAAGAATTGTGGGCTGTAAGCGGTAGAAGCTCATTTTGTCAACGGTTTTACTAATTTTAACGCAAAAACATGCACTTTATTTTTGTTTTCTTGTGATGTTTTTCTTCATCTGGAATTCGGCCTTTTTATTTTTGTTTTAAGTGTACTTTTAAAAAAATATTAACAAAATAATATAGTTGATTTTTTTAATAAAATAGCAAAATTTATATTTTTTATAATTAAAAATATAATTTTTATAGTTTAATTATGATATCCTTTAAAAAATATTAAATAATAAGAAAAAAGAAAGAGAAAAGATAACAACAATCTACAACAACATATCAAAACTCTAATTACAATATCAAACAACATATCAAACTCTAATTATAATATTATTAATATATTAAAATTTTTTTTGACACTCTAATTATAATATTATTAATATATTAAATTTTTTTTTGACAAAATAAATCTAATAATGTTAAAAAAATTATTGATGATGACCCAAGTGGATCACACTTATTATTAAAAGAAAATTATTTATTTTATATCATCATTATTTAGTGTTGTTAAATTTATCTTATTGAGATTTTTTTAATAATAATAATAGTAGTATAATCAGAAATTTAATAAAATTTTGAGGTATTTTTCTTTTCTTTTCTTTCACTTATTTAATATATTTTTTTAAAAGATATCATTATTATGAATTGCGACAAATTATAAAATTTATGTTTTTTTAATTATAACATGTATAAACGGTGTTATTTCATTCATTTTTTTATATGTGTTATTTCATCAATAATTTTAATTAATTAGAGTTTATTTAAAAAAAAATCCCTGGAATTCGCAACTGCATCTTAACCCTATTTTGTAGTTCCCAGTGCTCATAAATAAATCCATCTGCAACACCATTTCAAGCTTTGGTTCCTTGAGAAACCCTTACTGCAAATAAAGTTTTATTTACTATCTGTGTCCCAATTTTATTATTCTTCATAAATTTCAAAAAATTAACAGAAAATTAATTTTGTAATTTTTTTTTCTAGTTTTATTGATATAAAATTTAAAAAATTAAGTAAACTTAGTATTTCTTACAAGTCTTTTTGTTAATTTTTCTATAATACATAATTTTAAAAAATAATTAATTAAACCAATGTTAAGTTGAGTTTTGAAGAGTTAAAAGTACTCATATTCTTATATATGATTAAAGTTTTTCAATTCTCGGTTACCAGTAGCATGCAATATGATGAAATAATTGGATGGATTATCTCGACTCACCTTTTTATGAAAACTAATTAATAAATAAAATTATAATGTCATATCAATACACGTCATAAATGGGCTCAGCTCACTGGTAAAAGCACCGAATCCGCAATGGATTTATTTGGCATGGGAAGCCCATCTAGCATCTTTCACACTATCTTTAAAGATTAATTAATTAATTATTTTTAATTTAGTTTGATTTTTATAAAAATATTATTAAATTAATTTTTAGTTTAATTAAGTTTTTTTTAATTTGACTTAGTTTTTTTTATTTATATTATATTTAGTTTAGTTTTTTTGTTTAAACTTATAAAATTAAAATCGAATAAAGCTGGTTGAGTTTTTAAAATTTTTAATTAATTTAATTAAAATTTTTAATTTATTTAATTGGTTTATTTTTATAATTATTTTTTATTTCTTAATTTAATTATTTTTTTGATTTTTTTCTCATCCTACTGTTGAGATAACGAAGAGTGCCGTAGGGGTTAACTGGGCAAGGCTCATCATGGAGCATGCTCCCATAAATTATTTGAGATTCACTATAAAATAATTATGGTACTCATGATTTTGTGTTAATGGCTTATTAGTGAATCAGACTTGTATAATAATTTGTCATAAGATTTCAATGTAATTCAAGATAGGTTTTTTTCCAGAGGGAAGAAGTATTCTATACAATAGTCTTAAAATTTGTTCTTGTCATTGGTCATCATCTTAAGGAGATGGTTGCTACGATGTTAGGTTTAACTCATGAATCGTCGTCATGCTGCTGGTAAAATACTCAAATAGTTCAAAATTGTTAAAACAATCCTCAGAAAACCAAGAATAAAGGATTACATCGACAAAACATCAAAACCTAGACTAGCTTGTGTGTCTGCACTTTGTCACAGGATCGAATTATTTCTTATTTGCTACGATGGAAATGGCATAAAGTAATCAAGTAGATTTTGTAGACCTATTTTGTAGCATTACTTAATTAAAAATAATTAAAATGATAATTTTAATATTTTTCTTATCTATTTTTTTAATAGGTCTGGGAGCATTAGATGATACTTATATGGAGGTTGCTCTTTCTGAATAGGATAAACAAAGATACCGACCAAGAAAGGGTAGAATTGTCGCAAGTTAGATCTTAGTATATATTAAGAGTAAAATATATTTTTTTAATATTTTATTCTATCTTGTTTATTGTAAAAAATAGAAAAATACAGTTATTTTGTCGACTAAACAAGCGCTCCTAAAAGCTTATGCAAAAAACAAGATGCCAAACCAAGCCTTAGATTGCTTTAAGAAATTGGAGGAGGTTTTTTGGTGCAAGGATGGAATAAGATCTTACAATGCTTTTATCAAAGTCAATCAGTTAGGAAAAGCATTTTTTTTTTTTCGATTATTTTGAAACAGTGGGTATCTTGCCTAATTTGCGAACATATAATATTTTGATCGAGATTTCTGTTAAGAAGAGACAATTTGTCAAGGCATGGATTGGATGTGGGGTAAAGATTTAAAGCCTGATGTGTATAGCTATAGTACTATGATGTGTGACGTGGTGTAAAATGCGGGTTTGTGAAGTGCACTTGAGGTGTTTGATGAAATGTTCGAAAGGGGCTTAGTTCCTGATGTGATGTGTTGTATGATTCATTTGCTTTTCAAAAGAGGAGAATATCTCAAGGGGAAAGAGATTTGGGAAAGGTTGGTTAAAGGGTCCTGTGTTTATTCAAATGTGGTTACGTATATTGTTATGATTTATTGGTTTGTGTAAAATGAGGAGGATTGATGAGAGCTTGGAAATGTGGGAGAGGATGAAAAAGGAATGGATTCGTTTCAGTATAGCTGTTTGAATAAGGCGCTGACGATATTGAAAGAGGCAGAAGATGGAAGAGATAAGCTGGATGCTCTTGCACATTCCTCGATGGTTGATGGGTTAAGCAAACAAGGAAGAGTAGATGATGCATTGGGCGTAGTGCATCAGATGGATAATCATGGCTGTAAGTTGAGTCCTCATGTTTGCAATCTATTGATTAATGGGTTTGTCCGAGCTTCCAAACTTGAGCAGGAAATTCACTTTTTCAGGGGAATGGAATCCAAAGGTTGTTCTCCTTCTCTTGTCGTCCATAACACTCTTATAAATGGTCTGTGCAAGGCAGAAAGATTTTGCCATGCATATTCTTTTGTAAAGGAAATGCTAAAAAAAAGACTGGAAGCCAGACTCGATCACTTATAGCTTATTGATGGTGGCCTTCAACTTGTGGCGCCAAGCTCTTGACAAGGGTTTGGAGCCTTATGTAACATTTTGATGCATGGCCTTGCTCTGCTCGGAAAATTGGAGATGCTTTGCTGCTTTATTCAAATATGAAGCAGTCGAATTGAACTGTCTTCCCAATCCTGTTACCCATAACACAATTATGGACGGGATTTAAAAAGCCAGCGAGTGTGAAAAGGCATCAGTGATGCGGGCTTGCATGTTCAAATATGGGTTTCAGCTGGACATGGACACCATGATTACTTTAATTGCAGGTGATGTTGTTTTCGTGTTGTCATGGCAATACTTGCAGATGTGATTGGATCTTCCTTGTGACAAACCTGAACACAGCCTTCAACCATCTGTTAGGCAAACAGCGAGCAACCACAGCCCAGATAGCCTATCTAGCCCTTCAGCATCTAGTTTTAGCTTGATCATTTTAATTCAGGGCCCATAAATCTTCTTTTTCATTATGGACGAGTAACGTTCAGTATCAAACATTTTGAATCCTAGTTAGCTTGATCATTTTAATTCAGGGCCCATGAATCCTATAAGTCCCAAATATGTTATCTTCCTCCTAGACCTTTGAATTCTTATGCTTCTTTTCTCTGGTTTGCTCAGCTGTACAACGCCAAACCAACCAACCGCATCTTATATTTATATATATATAAACACTTCAAGCAATTTCACGGAAGTGCTTAGCCAGAAAAATAGCTGTACAGCAAAAAGTATTTGAAGATGATTATAAAAATTTCTCAGAAAGTAGTCACAACAACGTGAGTACAGCGACCTTTTGGCTGTTTGGATACAGTGATAGGAAAGGTAGCAAAGCATCAAAACCCAGTTACGTGGATGTTGGTGATGCAGTAATATCACCAAGATCGGATGTAGATGATGCAAAAGAAAATAGCTTGATGTATCAAATCCAAGTTGGAAGTTTTCACTTGGGGTTATTTTATCATGCTATATTCATTCAAAATGGCATGTCTAAGATTTTACACTATAAATTCCTTATACTGAGAAAAAAGGAGGACTTCACTTTTCTTTGTCTGTCTGTTCCTTTTCTGCTCTTTCTATGTCTGATGCTAATCTCTGCTCGTAGCTGAACTGAGTGATCAAACCCACTAAAATTGCTCCGAGAACTGCAACTTTTCGCCAATCAGGTGAAGAAGAGAGGAAGGAATCAGCAATCACTATGGCTAGGACACCCATTAAAGCAAGGTAAATGTTCTTCCTGGTTTTTGACCCTGCTTTTGCGTTAGTCAGATCTTTAATCTTCTGTGCTTCCTCCTTAGCTTTGGTTTTATCAACTGATGCTTTCTGGCCAAGGTTCTTGAAGAACATCCCCTCATTCCGGTCGTTTTCCATTTGAACTTCAAAATCTGCTACCTTATTATCGTTCTTCTCAATTTCCGTTCTATTCAATTCTGCAGATTCCTCAAAAGCTTGCATCTGGCTCTCTATGTTCTCCATTATCTGCTAAGCATAAATAATGAATAAGAAGCAGGTTATCAACAGAGGTGCTAAGCAACACCATTTTGTTGTTCCTTTAGCATTTCATAATTTGCATTGAGAATGAAGGAGTTGAACAGACCCTGGCACCTGCTTCATCAAGTCCTTTAAGAGCATCCTCTCCAATTTTATCAAACTCAGCATTGGCTTCTTCAGCAAATTGAGTTAGATAAGCTGATCTCTCGTCCAAGTAATCAGTGAGACGGACTTTTTGAGCTTGAAGCATGGCTATCTTCGCAAGCAGTTCTTGTTTTTTAGTATCACCTTCGGGTGGGGGAGCCTCAGAGTCAGAATCATTTGACTTACAAGGGAAGAGGATGGAGTTCTTTGTGTTGGATGGCTTTCTAGTGTGGAAAAAACCATGATTTGTAGGAGCAAATGAGGTGTTGATAGCTTTTAGGGAAAACATTTTTCTTTCGACTTCAGAGGGAGAGAGATAGAGGGAGTTGAAAGGGGAGGGACGTTATATGGGCAGTTGGTTTATTTTGGGCCTTTCGTTGGGTGGACATTATCCCTTATTTATGAGTGTAATATTTGTTCAAGTTTGTCCATTGACTTTCGAATTTGACATTGCAATCTGGATTTCTTTTTTAAATTAACTGTTAAAAAAAGGAAAAATAAAAAAATTTAAAAAAAAATTAGAAAAATAATATAGTTTCATAAATGGTATTTAACATAGTAAACTCGTCAAAAATATATGGGTGAAACTATTTTTTTAGTGTCTAAACTCCTTGCCATAAAAAACCAATCCAACAATTCTTCATAATTAAAAAATCAATACACTTTTCAATTCACATATCATCAAAATTCACAATTCATAATTAAATACAATTCACAATTTATTTTAATAAATTTAAAATAAATTTATAATTTTTGTAATATTAAATTTAACTAAATTTAAAAATTATATAGCTTATGAACAAAGCACGCATCATTCCAACTCATGCAACTCATTAATGGGCTCATAATGCTTGTCGAGAGGTCAACACTAAAATTATCCTAACTTGTAAACGGGTTTGGAATGATCATAAACGAGCCTAGATCGTTCATGAATGGATGTACCAGCCAACGTGTTCGAGAAGCTCCGCCTTCCCAGCTTTCTAAAGATATACAAATTGAGGATATTGTTGGGCAGGGCACATCCCCTTTGCAGAGCATGACAATTGCTCCCCCAGCCTTCCATAATAAATAATACGTTTAATACATACATAAAGAAAATTAGAAATCATCATCTATAAATAATACCAACCAAAGGGCGAAGTCCAGAAACACAAACAAGCTAGCTCCCTTGAAGTTAAAACAGTTAAAAGAAAACAAACTTACAACATGAAAACTGTCAACAATTGCATAGCTCAAAGCACACTATTTTTCAGTTGGTCAATCTGCTTTTAACAATATGAAGAACTCAAATAATAACATCAGCTTCAGACCTGCTTTTAACAATATGAAGAACTCAAATACTAACATCAGAGAATTGTGATTAGCCTACTTTATTCTAGTAGAAAGTGTGTTGAGCTTAATTAGCAAGCCAGTACTTAAATAAAACTACGTTTTGATTTATGCGCTAAAGCACCCAAATGAGATTGTGCTAGTCTACTCCACTTTTACTCCTCTATTCCTGACATAATCCCATGCACTTCTTAATGATAACTTCTAATCAACAGAGAGCTTTCTGGTAACTTCATCATTTGCATCGGGAAAAAGAAAAATTATTCCTCATGAAGTCGAAAAAACTTTGAATTAGATCTAAGGTCCTTCCATGTCTCGATGGGTTGACGTGGTGATTGGATTTGGCCACTAGTTTATGAGTCGATGCTATCTTGCAGAAACAAGTCTTCTATCATAATGAAAACCCCTCCGATTAGTAGATGTAACAGTAAAATAATGTATAATTGATGATAGTGTGAGGAGCATAAGCATGGGAGCAGGAGAGTGTGAGGAGTAGGGGAGGAGTATGAGGAGCATGATAATGTGGGGAGAGGAGCGTGGTTGCTCTGCTTTGTGTTATTCTCTGTTGCCTAGTGTATGTGGCATGAGGTATTTATATCCATGGCTTTTGAGACCAAGTGGTGTCCTAGACGGAGTTGGGGATCGAGAAGAGATACCATTTTTCACGATTCCAGCAAACATGGGAAAGTAAAAAAGTATTTTTCAGGAAACCACTTCCTCACAAACAAACAAACAAGCCTAGGTCATGGACAACAACAGGCCATCCATCTATGTTGTTGCAAAGAGATGTAACAAACTGAAATGTGATTCCTGCACTGTCCACCAACCATTCTGTCTCAATGAGGACGCTCTGTAGCTTTCTTGTAGGCATACCACTTTGAAATCCAGAGATACGCAGCGAAGTTCAGGAAGCTGAGAATTGCCAAGAGCCAGTAGAAGTAATCAAGATGGCCCCTATTCAAATTATCAGGGATCCAACCAAGCTTCCCACCTCTCGTTGTAACTTTAGTAACAATGGTAACAAGCAGAGTGCTCAGGTAATTTCCTAATGCGACGGTAGTGAGAGAGAGAGCTGAGCACAAACTTCTCATAGCATCAGGTGCCTGATCATAGAAAAACTCCAACTGTCCAATGAAGGTAAAAACTTCTGCACATCCTATGAGAAAGTACTGCGGTACTTGCCAGAAAATGGTTATTGGGATGTACTCAAGATCATAGTAATTGTTCTCTCGGACAAAGTTGAGTCGAACAACCTCCAATACCCCAGCAACGATCATGGAGATAATTGATATGACAAGGCCAATGCCCATACGTTGGAGCTGAGTAAAGCCTCGTTCATGACCCGTGAACTTCCTTGCGTATGGGACAATGATACGATCATAAACAGGAGCCCAGAAGATGACACTGAGGGTATCAAAGAGGGAGAGCGATGCTGACGGAATCTTGAAATGAGGAACCATATGTTGGTCCATAGTATTTCCTTGCAAAACGAACATGGTGCTCATTTGACTGTATACAGTTGCAAAGACTATTCCAGATGCCCACACTGGGAGCAACCTGATAATGGACTTGAGCTCTTCAACTTGAGTTACTGTGCAGAGTCTCCATGGGCTTGTTAAGCCCTTGATATTGTCAGTTTGGGTTTCCACAGCAGCCTTGTCAAAGAACCTGAAACTTAATAAATTTCGATTAGATCAAGGGTAGATAATGAGAATCAGCCTAGGAGTATTTCAACGCAAGGTTTGCATTTGGGAAATGCAAGTGTAAAAGAAGATAAAAAGCTGCTCTTTATGCTTGTAGGCTATTTAGCATAAGTGTTAACTCTAACTGGGAGTATGGGTGAAGATTCCCGTTATTTACTTTTGTTGCAAAAAACAGCCTTCTCCAATACTTTTGTTGCAAAATACAGCCTTCTCAATTCATGGTGCAAAGTATTAACAACGTTGCCTGGTTTCTTGGTCATATTCAGAAAACACACTTCTTAAGTACCCAAAACATCCGCTGTCTGGATAAATGGATTGCAACATAAGATTTATTGACATGCTTATTCTTACCATAAACTTGTACGAGTCAATTGATGAAGGAATTTCTTGAGCTACTAAATATTTGGAAATATATAGGAGGAATAAAATCAACATGGAGAATTTT